ACCGTGCAGCCAGGAACAGGGGGTCCAGGGGGTGTCACACCCCTGGGAAGGGGGAGATCAGGGGGGTCACTGGTAGGCACCTTGCCTGCAAAAAAGGGGGTCATTGGGGGTCCCACACGACCACAAAGTGCGGGCACCACAACCCCAGGAAGGGGAGGTTGGGGGGGGGGTGACGGGGGCCCCACCCCCCCCCCCGGGGGGGGGGGGGGGGGGGGGGGGGCTGCCCCCCGCGCAGAGGGGATTGTGGGTAAGGAGGGGAGCGGGCACAGAAGGGGATTCTGGGTAGGATGGCAGGGGACGCATAGAGGATTCTGGGTAGGGAGCGAGGGGGCACAGAAGGGGATGTTGGGTGGGGGGTGGCAGAGGGGTTCTGGGCAGGAGGATTGTGGGTAAGGGGGCGAGGAGTGCTGCAGAGGGGCATTGTGGGTAGATGGAGTGTGTGGTGGCAGGCAGGGGGCCATCAGGGCTGCCCCTCTACGTCCCCGCCCCCCTCCCTGTCAGCGCCCCCCGGGCTCTCCCCCAGCAGGCGGGCGAGCTGGTCCAGGACCTGCTGCAGGGTCCGGGCCAGGCGCTGGGCGTGGGTCTCACGGCAGCAGTTGAAGGCTGTGATGGCAAAGTTGACGTGGGCGTCCAGCGGGTTGTAGCAGACCCCGTAGCCGTCTGGCACCTGCGGCCCGTAGATCATCAGGCAGTCGGAGCGCGAAGCCACCTGGCGGGGTGTGGGGAGAGCGGGGTGAGGGGGGCGGACAAGTCCCCTCCCCCTGCCTGCACCCCAACGTCCACCCAACCTGAACCCCCCACCGCTGATGACCTCCAGTGAGGAGGCAGGATAAGAACCCACTACTGCTGCCTGCGAAGAGAGCTCCCCCCAACACCCCTGGGCAGGGAGAGGGGAGGGAGCACGAACGGGTGTTAGTTGGGGGGCAGAGGCCCATATCTGCCTGGTGAGCAGCCATCAGTGGATGGCAACGGTACAGGGGGTAGCTGGTGCGGGGGAGGGTGTAGCTGGGGGGTCCATACCTGCCTGGTAAGCAGCAGGTAGCACGTGGTGATGGTGTAGGGGCGCCGTGGGGCGGGTGAGGGTGAGTTGGGGGGCGCCGTGGGGCAGTACCTGGCCGGTGAGCAGCTGCCAGTGCGTGGCGATGGCGTAGGGGCTCCATGGGGCGGGTGAGGGTTAGTTGGGGGGCACCGTGGGGCAGTACCTGGCCGGTTAGCAGCCGGCAGTGCGTGGCGATAGTGTTGGGGCGCCGTGGGGCAGGTGAGGGTTAGTTGGGGGGCACCGTGGGGCGCCGTGGGGCAGTACCTGGCCAGTCAGCAGCCGGCAGTGCGTGGCGATGGCGTAGGGGCTCCATGGGACGGGTGAGGGTTAGTTGGGGGGCGCCGTGGGGCAGTACCTGACCGGTCATCAGCTGGCAGTGTGTGGCGATGGCGTAGGGTCTCTGTGGGGCGGATGAGGGTTAGTTGGGGGACGCCGTGGGGCAGTACCTGGCCGGTCAGCAGCCGGCAGTGCGTGGCTATGGCGTAGGGGCTCCGTGGTGCGGGTGAGGGTTAGTTGGGGAGTGCCGGGGGGCGCCGGGAGGCAGTACCTGGCCGGTCAGCAGCCGGCAGTGCGTGGCGATGGCGTAGGCCGTGTCCATGAAGATCCCCGGCAGCCGCTGCCCGTCCCCGATGGCCGCCAGCTTCAGCCCCAGCAGGTGCCGGTCGATGCCCTGCCCGGCCAGCACCTGCGGGGAGAGGGTCACAGCCCGGACGCCTGGGTCCCAGCCCAGCCCCACCCCCGCCCATGTGGGGAGAAGGTCCCAGCCTGCACACCGTCCCAGCCCGGACGCCTGGGTCCCTGCCCTGCACACCATCCCAGCCCGGACGCCTGGGTTCCAGCCCCGCCCCACCCCCGCCCATGTGGGGAGAAGGTCCCAGCCCGGATGCCTGGGTCCCAGCCCCGCCCCACCCCCGCCCATGTGGGGAGAAGGTCCCAGTCTGGACGCCTGGGTCCCAGCCCCGCCCCACCCCTGCCCACGTGGGGAGATGGTCCCAGCCCTGCGGGGGATGGGGGGTTGGCTCACCTGTTCGGTCCTGGCGCTCTGAGATTCCACCGCCGCCTGCAGCAGGGACAGCGTCTCCTCGTCCTGGGGGCCGGGGGAGCTGGGTCAGAATGGGGGGTGCTGGGGGGCAGGGGGACGGGGTAAGGGCAGGGCGTGTGGGGAACCGCTGGGCGGGGGGACTCGTGCATGGCACAGGCCAGGTGCAGAACGGGGGGGCTGTGGGGAGCAGTGGGGAGGGCCGTGGGGCGCAGTGGGAGGGTGCAGGGGGGCAGTTACCTGGCTGTGGGGTGCAGGGGGGACTGTAAGGGTCCGCGGGGGGGTTACTGGGCTGTGGGGTATGTCCATGGCCCGGGCCAGGCGCAGCACCAGGGGAACCACGGGGCACAGTGGGGGCGCAGGGGGGGCGCGTGGGGGGGTTACCTGGCGGTGGGGGGCAGGGGGGGCGCGCGGGGGGGTTACCTGGCCGTGGGGCATGTCCATGGCCCGGGCCAGGCGCAGCACCGGCGGGGCCGCGGGGCGCACGGCGTCCGTCCGGCCCAGGTGGAAGCGGCGAAGTGACACCACCTCGCTGGTGGCGCAGAGCGAGCCGTGGGTCCTGGGGGAGACAGGGTCAGCCCCACACCAAACCCCCCAGTGCCTCACCTCCATCCGCCCCACACAGACCCCCCCCCCACTGCCCCACCCCCAGCCTGGTCCCCCAGGGCTGCCTCCGCCCATACCCGCCGGGGCCCCCACCTGTAGTAGGCCAGCTGCAGCGCCACCTGAAAGAGGGAGTCGGGGCGCAGCCCCCAGCGCTTGGGGAGCCCCTGCCCGAACCCCCGGTAGGTGAAACAGCTGATGTCCAGGTCTGTGATCAGGCTGGGGGGAGAGAGGTGTTAGATGGGGGGCTGGGCCCTCCGTCCCCCAATAGCGCCCCCACCCCTCTGCCCTCCCAATAGCCCCCCCTCTGC